CCAGGAGTTGGCTAATCATGACCTGCTTCCCACAATTACTCCATTAATTCCCAACTGACATAAAAAAGGTCTGTTCCTTCTTGACCTGGGTTTTCAGCCATGTGATCCAGAAAAATACCTCTCCCAAAACTTGCTCTTGTGACTGAAAATACCTTGGGAAGCTTTATTTGGTTTGATAGATTTTTTTTTTTTTTTTTCCATTCTAAAATTAAAGCTTAAATATAGGCACAAACAGCCAGTCTGGATAGAGCCTTGGTTTTATTTTAGTTTTTATTACTAAAGTATACTTTTGACCTTTTTGTAATATTTTATCTTTATAGTTACCTTATGATTAGCACATTCAAAATAAAAGCATTATTTTTCTCAGAAGTATGGAATTTAAATTAGCATCACAGTCCTGAATTTTCATGGTGTGTGTTCACTGGAACTTTAAACATAAACATTTCTGAAAAATATAGAAAATGTTTGCAGTGAAAAGTGGCTGTTTCAAAGTGCTGAATATGATGTATAAGGGATTCAAAGCACGCTAATTTATTTTCTAAATTTATTATCACTATCTCTGTAGGTGGCAGAAATGAAGGGAGTTCAAAAACTTTTTCAACTTGTGCCCACTGACAGTAAAGAGAAACCAAAATGTACAGAAATAGGGGAATGGTGTCAGATGACTAAATGCTTTTCAAGATTCCTTCAACTAGTTGACAAGATTTTCCAGGAACTTCTTCGTAAATTGGTGCACAATGCTGTCCATCTGCTTTTGGAGTTTTTTAAACGTTCCAGCAATGTGACTTCTCTAGATGAAAAGAAGAATGAAAACCTTATGAGGTTATTTCTATCAGTCTAGATTGCAAACACTGGTTTAAAACAGAATTTTGCTTCATTATATTGTTTTCCTAAAATATTTGGAATTCTTTTTATTTTGTCCTGATTTTATTGGGAAGTTTACTTTCAGTCGTCTAAAGCCCCTGGCAGATGTTACACTTAAGACATGATTAGTCTGTTAATCTTTCTTAAATAGTAATCCGGTCACATATTTAGGGAATTAATGGCACCAGAAAAAGGGAAATCAGCCACAAAAATATTATGCCAAAAATATGTAATATTTTTATGGCTAGTTTTCATCATGCTTTAAATTAGGACTGTACTGGGGTCTCCAACTGGACCTGCAATGCATGCTGATCAAGAATCAGCTGATTGTCTGCTGGATCTGGGACTACACTGGGGCTCTAATCAGTCCCAGTGCAGTCTCTATTGGCTGACCTTCAGCTGATTGCCTATCTTGAGGACCAGATGGGTTTCAGCCAGCTTTAGTGAGGTTCCCAGAGACAGCAGATGATCAGCTGATCATCATTTGGTTCCAGGGACCACACTAGGTCCTGTTCAAGCCTAGTGTGGTCCTGGAGCAAGTTGACAATCAGATGATCATGGCCACCCACTTTCAAACTGTTGGTGCAGGAGGAGTCCAGGATTATGATCCCAGGATCCCCCTGTATGGACAAGTAGGGCACCATTGGCATCTGACCACAACACCAAAATTACGTGTTCTGCCATACACATGTGGCATGGCATGAGATATGATTGTTGGGATCAGGGATCAGATCCCATTGCACCTTTAAATGAACTTCTGTCAGTAGCCTAAATGTTTACCCTTAAATAAATCATGTGATAAGGATTTGGTAAATTTGACTCTTGGTATTGCTTGTGATAGAAACTTAAGGGTATGTCAGTTCTGCTACTTGGCATTCATTTGAGGGTGCCTCTAAGCCAGGGGTGGGCAAAATATGGCCCATGGGCCAGATCCGGCCTTCCAGGTGATTTCATCTGGCCCACAGGCACCCACCAATTAATTGTACCTTGCCCAGCCTGCATGCTTCACTCCCACCCTTTTGTGTGGGAGGGCCCCAGCCTCAGCCCTGGCCCCAGCCCTGGCCAGCATGCACAGCTTCTGGATGGGGCTGCTGCTGCCACTGCTGCAGCTACCACAGGACCTGCTCAGTTTCCCCAGCCTCCAGCAGCTCCTCCTTGTGTTGTTGCTGCAGTGCTTGCTCTGGGCAGCAGGTAGGGAAGTGGAGGCAGGCGGGGGAAACTGCAGCTGGGTGGGAGTACAGAGTGTGAGGTTGGTGGGAGTGTGGAGCCCAAGGCCTGGGGCCCACACCCAGCAGGACAGTGGGACTGCAGAGCTTAGATGGACAGGGTGTAGGTTTGTGGGGTGTGAGGGAGGGTGGGGGAGTCTTGGGGAGTTCCCCACATGGCCTCCCATCACGTGCAGCAGCAGTTGCAGGCCCTCAGGGTGTTTGTGGCCCGCGCAGGTGCAGCCATCTAGCGGTATACAGCTACAACCAGTTCCAGGAGCTGCACGTGGTGGCAAGGAGCTGCCCACTTCTATTGTATGCAGCTTGCTTGCAGCTCCCAGGACTAGTGTGCCATCAGGGGGAAGCCCCACGTGATGGAGCCAGCACCTGGCCCCACTCATTCCCACCATGTGCAGCTCCTGGGACTCCACTAGAAGTGGAGGGGATTCTGGAGCAGGGGCTGTGCGCCATGGGGAGGAGGATGTGTGAGGGGGTCCCTACACACCCATACCCTGCCCACACACCTCTCCACAACCCCCCACATAGATACATACCCACATGTCCCAACATTACCCTATACCTCCCCACAGACACCCCACACCCCCCCATACATACACACACACTCCCATCCACACCGCACACACTTTCCCACATACCCCCTACACACAATATACAAGAGTAAGACTTTGTTTTTGACCTACTATGTGATCTTCTCTTTATACACTACTCAAACATACATAAATCAGGACAAAATATTTTTTGAAATAAAATTAAAATATGTTTTAGTAGATGTTTGATTTTAGTATATGATTTGGTTATTTTTCCAGTTTCAAGATGGCAATCCCCCTCCCAAAAGTAGTGCTCCTGGGGGCAAAGGGTGGTTCTGTTGGCAAAGTTCAGGGGTTAGGGGCAGGACTTCTGGTCTCAAGATGGTGACCAGGGTCAGGGCACCTGTCAAGGGGTGGGGCTACTCTTGAAGCCTTCTACAGCTCACCAAAACTCATTAAATGGCTCTCTAGTCAAAGTAATTGCCCACCCCTGCCATAAACCAGTTGACGATTTCTATTTAAAAAAAAGAAAAAACCCTATAAGGTCTGGGAGTTGTCCACTCAAAGCCCAGTAGCTCTGCTGATCTTTGGGAATTACCAACATGGCATCTAAAGTGTCCAGTTTATCCATAAAAATGCTAAATGGCAGAGGCAGAAACTCAGAGGCCTTCTGTGTACCATGTAACTACTGTGTCTTCTTCTCTAATCTACAGAGAACACCCATAGGAATAACAGAATAACTCAGATAATGTCTACACTGCAAACTTGTGCCTGACACTGACGCACTCAAACATGCCAGGCTTCTCTGCACAGGCAGTAGCATAGGTCCATCTGCACTGTGCTGTGAGGTAGCACAGAGGTACACCAGTTGACATTGCTACTCAGCAGTATCAGTTCACCCATATGTAGCACACCATGGACACACCTATACTGCTTCTGATTCAGGAGGCAGCTTGCTACTTGGTGTTCTTTGTTTGAAGAACATGTTTCAGTCACAATAAGTTTGCAGTCTAAACATGGCATCCGTTTCCATTTCCATGTGATACTTGTCATCTCAGCTGAGAGGACATCTGTCAAATTGCTGGTTATGATACCCATTTTCATAATGTAGGGGAACTGAACTGTCAAACTGTGACAATATTCTGTCGCTGTTGACCTAAGCAGTTTCTGATTGAAGATCTTCATATTCCTTTACCACTCCATGGCACTCTAAATGTCCATGTTCCTTCAAGATTACATTACAAATAAAAGTCTGTTTATTATTTTTATGCAAAGCTAATGAATGTAAAGATAATAAAGCCATGATGTGAAACCAGGGCAAACTGAAATGCATGGTAAAAATTGTAGTCTTTATGTCTAGTAATTATATACAAGACATATCTACAGAAAAAAAATGTTACAAGCTTTCAAAGTAAGACTGGTTTAGTGATAAATGTTCCAAGTAGATAATAATTCTTTTTTCCTTGTTTGGTAACAAATACAATTTTTGGTGGTTTATCTTCCTAATTCTCCAGATTGTATAAGAACACTCTTGAACGATCAGCTAGCGTTTTCAAAACTGGAGACTATTTAGCAGGATATGGAGAATTTGTTTGTGGTTCTATTAAAGCTTCTCAAGAACTGTCTTGTCATTCAAGAAAGAACCAGATTTCACAACCTGAAATCATTACTGTAGCTGACATTGACAAGGTAAAACAATCCTACCCTGAAAGACAGGATGCTTATTTAATGCAGTAGAACCATGAGACCAAATCTGAGGTCCTTACTCAGTGCTAGAATTTGGCTGGTCTCTGTGCAACAATGCACAAAAGGGAGGAAGAGCAACAGGTTAACTTTTCTTTTGTGACATCCTGCTCCCTTCTCAATTCATGGCTTGCCACAGATGCACAATGCATTTTGCTGTTTCTGACTGTAAGTACTGAACAGAATTAATGTTGCTAGTGGGGTGAGGTGGTAGGCAGATGCTTTCTGTACAGCACAAGTGTCTGGGAAGTATTGAAATACCTGTGGAGGTGTCAAACTCATTTGACCCCACAGGTCAGATTTGGACTGTGGGGCTTCTTGAGGGCTGGATGCCTGCTAGTGGGAGCAGCATTAAACCCCTTGGCAGCATTGGTACAGTTTGAGAACCTAGGGGTGCTTTGCTCCCCCTCTTTTTTTGCCTACCACCAATTTTAATCTCCAACAGTGATTAAAGAGCCCAATTTTTAGCAGAGGGAGAGTGCTAGTGTTAATCCCCTGGGTTCTGGAGGCACACTAATGCAGTATCTCTGGGAGCCGCAGCAGCTCCAATGACAAACACAATGAGCTGGACCTGGCCCATGGAGGTAGGCCATCCAGCCCCTGCTCTACACCAATACGAGTCAATGCTTGAAAAATAAAATGAAGTTCACAGTTTTTGCTAAATCCACTATTGACTTTACTGGCATTTTGAATAAGTGAAAAGCTTAATAGGATCTTAGAATTTGGCAAAAGAAGAATAATGTAAATAGACAGGATTTTTAATCTACTGTTATTCTAGCATATAACATGATAATAAATGATTTTTAAGATCTGATCTTTAAAATGTATAAGAATATCTTCAGGACTTTTTAAAGACATGCATTAAAGTTATCAGAATATAACAATAATAAGAATATTTGAAAATATGAAGACTTCCTCAAGTTTACTATTAAACCTTTTAAAATAGACAAAAATAAAAAAGCTTTCAATTCATAAAATATGTTTTGCACTTGCATCCACTGGGGGATACAAAAGTACTTCATGAAATTGTATATATATTGTTCCCATTTTGCAGTTAGAAAAAATGAGGCGCAGACTGGTTTATGACTTTTTTAGTCTGTGGCAGAATTGGGAATAAATTCTGCATTACCTGGAGGACTACAAGTCCCCCCCTGTAATGGTTTAATCATTTCAGTATGTCATCTCCAAGGTCAGAAATTCTGGTGTTCCCTACCCCCCTTCCAGAATAAGTATTTCTAATAGTTATATGTTTTACATTGAATACTTTTACTCTGAATCCTTAATATTTAGCACCCTTATAACATTTGCAATATGTAGCATGCTACCTATGTTTTTGGTCATGAGACAGAATACTTCATTTTTTAAATTATGAAGTATCTACAACCAGAGCTGTCCCTTTTGGGGGGG